AAATAGGGGGCGTTCCCATAAAAGCCTCGTAAACTTACGAGTTTTACATAGTTTAAGGGCCGGTTGTTCAATGTCTCGTTATCACTACTTGCCGGTTAAACATCATTATCGACGATTTCGACATCATGCATATAACATGTGATCGATAAAGCAGTCGTTGTATCTAACCGGAGCTTCTACCTCCGATTTTTGCTAATCAGACATTGAACAACCGGCCCTAAGACTTTACGATTTTAAGGCCGGTTGTTCAATGTCTGATTAGCACTAATCGGAAGTAGAAGCTCCGGTTACGCACAGCGACTGCTTTATCGATCACATGTTATATGAATGATGTTGAAAACGTCGATAATGATGTTTAACGGGCAAGTATATTAACTAGACATTCAAGAACCAGCCCGAAAAAGCTCTGTTATGCCTACTTGGTAGTGCATGCACTGCTATACCACTTTTACGTAGAAATCAAAAACCAACAGACTTCTACGTATGTAATGCTATGCGTTATGTAACCGCTTATAGGGCATTCGCACGAGGCGATTTTATAGGCAACAAAAGTTGAATGCGAAGTTGAATGAGAAGTTGAAAGTGAAAAAGTTGCCATCCCTATTCAGACGAGGCGATTTTCGATTCAACACGAATTGTTATTTACATTATTGAAAATGAATTTAAATCGCAAAATTTTATCAAATTTGGTAAGCTGAAAGATAAAATAAAAGTAAAAAAGAAAAAAAGTATGTATACAGAATGTAAACAACCACAGGGTTGCAAGGAAAAAAAGTTGAACGAGCTCAAAGTTGGCTGGCGACCAACTTTGTTGAAAGCGATTAGTTGATAGGCCGTTCGGACGAGGGGATTTTTGCTTTCAACTAAAAGTTGACTGAAAAATCGCCTCGTGCGAAAGCCCTATTATACGTGAAGCTCATTTAACAGATTCCTTCAGTGACAACTCTAAGCAATGACAAGTATGCATAACAGCAGAGAATCCCTTAAGTGCTCATTTACACACGGCGCAACTCGACGTTTGTAGGAGAGAGTGTGACGAGGAAAGGAGAGGGGCACCGAGTTGCTCGTGCTCGGGCAACACGCTTTGTGCTCTCTTTCGCCTGTGTAAATTGAACCGCTGTTCACAGCTGACAACAACAATTGCATACACACAAATCGCCGTGTGTAAATGAAACGAGCAACACCAAAAGGGAATGTGAAAAATCGCGTCGACAAAAGTTTCCGTGTATAAACACAGTCTAAGTGAAAAAGTGTGCATGTATTGCTATTTTCATGTCAGTATTGTCCGGTGTAAACCCTAAGTAAAGTAGTGCGGCAACTTGACGGCCAAGGCAAAAATCTTAAACCCCTGCCAGATAGAATACTTTGCGCAAGTGGCGCCAAGGATGGACTTGATGTGACGTAAAAGAACGTAGGGCAGCGCCACAATGAAGGTATTCCGTTTGCAAACAAAAATCAGCTGTTCTTTATGACCGCGTACTTGAGGGTTTACACAATCAAGTTTGCAGACACAATAGCAATACATTCGCACTTGTTTACTTATATATTCACACTTCTCTCATTGCCTTCGTCACTGGCTTTAAATTTTCGAATACAGTTTATTATATGGATGCCTACTTTACTCAAACAATGTGACAAATAATACATATTCTCAATTTTCTTGTTTTGTATAAACGCAAGGTAATACAACACTTTTACACCGCATTTATTTCGGTATTAATTCTATAGTTTTCACTTCAGGATAACACAGATAAAGGAACGGGCATATATAGGTCCAATCCCGTATTCCTTGGACTAAGGGCCGGTTACTCAATGTCTGGTTAACGCTAATCTCCCGTTGAACATAGTTATCGACGTTACCGACTCCCTGTTGTATGCATGGAGTCGAAGACGTCGATAACGATGTTTAACCTCAGATTAGTGTTAACCAGACATTGAGTAACCGGCCCTAAAACTAGTAAAAATGTCAAAAAATAAAAAAATCGCTCAGAGCGAGGGTGTAACACTGGAAAGTACGGGATCGCTTTCTAGTACAAAAATATTAACTTCTGACAACTTTATTATAACCTCCAAATTCGGGTTGTAAATTTTTGTTTATTTTGTATGTAAACGCACTCAGATCAGCATGTAAATAACCAAATATACATTCAGATTCATCAGAATCCACTTACAATATTAAGGGCCGGTTACTCAATATCTGGTTATCACTAATCTGCGGATAAACATCGTTATCGACGTTACCGACTCCCTGTTATATGCATGGAGTCGAAGACGTCGATAACGATGTTTAACCGCAGATTAGTGTTAACCAGACAATGAGTAGCCGGCTCTAAATTTAATACTTTAAACATGCATTTGCAGAGTGCACTTCTCTTTTGTTTACAATTTGGTTGTCAAACTACAGCTGATCGCTTGACACATTTACCAGGGCTCGAATCGTCACATACGATATCGTACTACACTTCAGGTAAAAACACAATTTTCGGATTATGACACACGCGAACGTACTCTTTGTCCCACTCAGCTTATACTGCCTGTCGTATCTCGTAATTTTCTTTCGTATCGTTTTCGATCCGTGAACGGATGTTACGATTCGAGGCCAGAATTCACCAGCAAAAAATTTACGGACTAAAACTGGTAACTTCTGACTGAGAGAGGACCTTATTTACTCTCTTTTTTGTCCTCTCAATAGTCAGAAAACCGAGTACTGGATCGATTTCCAGCAAAATCTGACTAATTCTGACAATTTCTGATTAGTCCGGATTCGTACGGAATCGCAACTTATTTTTGTTGTAAGCATGGGTTGCCTCGTGCTCTTTTTTACAAAAAACTTTAGAAACCCGTAGTAGAAAGCGTAGCAAATTTCTTAAGAACTGCGTACTGCCTCAAGAAACTTTTACACAAGAAAACTTCTTAGCCATTTCTTGTACGTCATTTTGTATGGAACTTTTGCTTTTCTTGAGAGCTGCATACTGGCCTTTAAGGAAATTTAACACAAGAAAATTTCTTAGCCATTTCTTGTGCGTCTTTTTGTGTGGAGTTTTTGCTTTCCTTGAGAGCTGGGTTAAGGGCCTGTGCCAATTGTAAGAAATGAGTAAATTTTGACGGATTAAAGTAAAAATTTGACATTTCTCGTGGTGAATAAGAACGTCAAAATTTTACCTAGCTCATGGGGCTAGGTAAAATTTTGACAGCTTATAAACATGCATACACATAATAATGCTTGGCGGTAATAAAGAGTGAACATGAAAATGAAAGCTGAAAAAGCACAAAAAAGTGTACGTTACTTGTAACTTATAATATATAAATTTTAACAATTTCAGCAACACACAAAAATAGAGCTTTTTGCACGAGCGTTTGTTTAGTTTTTCAACTGTCAAAATTGTACTTTGCATTTGGCACAGCAAAATTCAATTTATTTGTACACCATAACAAATTTTTCCACCCCGTCTCACCTTGGAGAAAACAGTTACCGATTGGCACAGGCCCTAAATAAAAAAGCTCTAGTGACTAACAGTTACTTTTTGTGGTGAACATGGATTTTGGGACTATTTGGAGCGTGTGTGAATCAGTAACAAAGTTCGCGTCGAATAAATTTTTGACAACTATGAGGTGAATAAAATTTTAGTAGCTCAAGAGGCTAGTAAAATTTTTGGTAAATGCATAGAAAATTTTGACAATCGCAAAGATTGTTGATGTGTGTAATTTTTCGTTAAATAAAAGCTTAAATTGATGAATTGCAATCAACGATGGTAGATGTGTTCTTAAAATATAAATTTCACTTCAATTTGTAATATTTTATTCCGCATAAACCTGCGGTTATCAAAAATTTACTGGTGTCAAAAAAGATTTAATTTCACACAGCAGATTGGCAAAACTGTGTCACCATAGTAAAAATATTATTCAACAGCTTTACTCATAGAACTTTGTTACCGATTCACACACGCCCTTGGTATTCAGTAAGCTGTCTCACGTCTCTAGTCTAAAAAAAAGTCACTAATTTGTCAGTTGGCTCTGAGCTGGTCACAAAAGGAAAAATGTGGAGGAAAAAAATTTCTTTTGTTTTATTTAAAAAACGCGAAAATGAAGCAAAGAAATATTTGTTCAACAACAATTTCATTAGGAAATATACCAAATGCTTTAATATCGTAAAATTTCTTAAAATTTTTTGTTTGGTTTTTGAAACCTTAAAATCTAAAGATTATGTAAAAAATTGAACTAACCAAAAAAAAAAAAAGAAAAAGTTAAATATAAAAATGAAAAATCCTCTGCGCCCGAGGAGAATTCGAACCCGGATCTCTCGAGCGGCAATCTAATGCTTTGACCACTCGACCATTGCGATTCTTGGAGCGACGCGAGCAAAAGGCATACATAAATGCTATCAGTTGACTGTCTGTGGTTGTTTTCACCACACTTTTTGTGACTCTCTCCTACTGAATACCCAAATAATTCCAAGTCACAAGATTAGTTACTAATTGCTAGTCTCAAATTTAGTGACTTCAGATGAGACTGAATTACTGAATACCAGGGTTAGTCAGGAAAATATTACTAAAGACGTTGTAAACGAGAATTTTAAGTTGTTTCGTTGACCACGCCATCTTGAAGTGCAAATATAGGGTGCATTTCAAAACGTCAAAATACAAAGCATCAGTCTCTTTGGTTTCTAAACCTCAATAGATTCCAATTTCAAATGTGTGTAACCACGGTTTTCTACTAGGTTGCGCAAGTTAGACTTTTTCTTCTAGTGTGGTTTAGAGATAAAAGAGACTGATGCTTTGTATGTTGACGTTTTGGAACGTACCCAGACTATCAAGTTGCGGGAAACCTACGCCGCAACTATCAATTTAATCGAATATTGACAAGAAGTTTGTGTGATCAACTTGAAAACGAGTTATCGATCGTGTAGTTGCGCTGTAATAGAAATTTATTTCTGAAATCCCTCAAAATGATGCAAGTTGCCAGATTTCTGTTAGTTATTTTTAGTTGAAGAATATGGCATCCTCTTGACGAAATAAAGCGAATGCAATATGGCGTCGTTGTGCTGTGTCGTGGGTACGTATTGGGTTGTGAAAATTTTCTAATTTATTAAATATCTCCATAAAATATATCGAATATGTGCTATCTTTGCTATTTTCGTATGTACAAGTGTTAATTTAATCATAAAAATTTGTTTAATTTGTGAGAACTATGTTTAAAGCTTTTTTAAAAGCACTGAAAATTGCTCCAGAAAAGTGTACTCTTGTAGCGTCGACAGGCGAGCCGTCTTGAAAAAAAAATTGTCTGTTTTCGTGCCAATGTATGCTAATGGTGTTATTGTATGCCAGATAAAAAATATTAACAATATTCAAAAAGTGTATCAGTTAAATAAACGTGACTGAATTTATTGGTATAAATAATGAAATTCTACCGGCTAGGATTGGAGCTACGAGTGGAAAACATACGTACATATACACATATTTTGTGTAGACAGTGAACTTTGCCTACGTGTGTATACGGCCACTTTAATGCAGTTTGGTGTATGGGGGTCCCACATCAGCTTCCGAAATGCTTCAAAATTCAGTATTGCTCCTCAAGCAGAAGGGGCGTTACAACGCAATGCACAGAAAAATCAATAATGCAGTTGTAGGACGTCCAACGTGTTACGGCTAAAAATCCAGGAAACACTGCCTTTAAAGATTTGCTAATTGGGGTGTTGTTAGGTTTTCATATGACAGATGAAATATGTATTCAACAAACTTTCTCCAATTGCCGGCACATGCAATTTTTTAATGAATATTTAAATATTCACATGTGTATGTACATTGGTAATTATATGTATGTTTGCATGCACTTATGTACATATCTTAATACGAACTTGTGTTTAATTTATATATGTACAAAGACTAATATTCCTATCAATCTACATATGTATATAACGGTCTAGTTTATCCTGATTATAAATTCTTTTCGATGTATTTAGTTTGCCTTGGATTCTAAATTCCCATTAACTTTTTGGATATATGGAATGGAGGGCGTAGTTATGTATAAAGACTATAAAGCAGACAGTAGCAAAAAACTGAATATTACTCCTTATGCTTCAAGTATGGAAGATTCTGGTAAGAAGAGAAAATACATTTTACGTGTAGTTACAAATAGATACTCACTAAAGGATCCAGGTTCGTCCCTGAAACATCCAATCAAATTTTTTTTCTAATAGCAATGGTCCTCTAGCGGGCATCCAACTCTCCGAGTGTATTTCGGCCACGGAAAATTTATCTACCGTTCGGTAGCGGCGTAAAACTAAAGATTACTCCATTTGTACGGCAACTTAGAGCGCTCACCTCGAATCGGAGGAAAAGTTCGGCCAAGCTCCTAGCAAAAGAGTGAAGCGCCAAAAATTTCGTGTGTGCTTTCCCGTTACTCCATACACATGTACTAGGGAATTCAATCCCGGAAAATTTTCTGTGTCTCGAAATCCCGGGATAACAATTCCGGGATCACCAGATTTTAACTGATTCATTTACAGAATGAAAGAAGTTGAAAAGGAAAAAATGAATTCATTTGACATGAAGCACGAGAAATACAGAACACCAAAATTTGAAGTCAAAGTTAACTTGAGCCATTTGCACTTGGAAGTGAATTTCAGGACCTGCCTGAATCCTGTACTTGTTCAAATATTTTGTGCAAGAACTGCATAGTAAAATAATATATTATTACACTATGCAAGAATTGTGTAATGATGAAAAATCTGATAGCAATTGACAACACAAGCTTCTACAGTGTGGCAGAGTTGTTGTTCATTTTATTTTGTTGGCGTTTTTTGGAAAGGGATTTCTGCAAATATAAGTAACTGTTTTTGATAAGTAAAATAGATATTTTAGAATATGTACTATACAAAAGATTTCAACATCAAATTATGTACTTTTTTACTAAGGGGCATTATGCTCCTCTAAGACCAAATGTGGTGACAATGAATCTGTGTGATTTGACAAAGGCGAACCTACTGTAAAATGCAAAAAATGGTGATGAAGTCGAAATCCCGAAAGATCTCGGGATCCCGGGATTCGAATTTTTGCATCCCTAAATCCCGGGATTGTTAAAATGCTTCGGGATTAAATTCCCTAATATGTGCATACCACGGGTAATATCTGCACAAGCCACTACTATGCGTGGTTCCCTTATATTTATACCACTTGTGCGCAAGGGTAGATATAACTTTGTTAACATAACGCTTGTTTTTAATTTTTAACCGACTTCCAAAAAAGGAGGAGGTTATCAGTTCGTCGGAATATTTTATTTTTTTTTATTTATGTATGTTACCGCATAACTTTGGACCACGTTAACCGATTCTTTTTGCATCGGAAAGGTAGTGTCTCAGAGGTGGTCCCATACTAATCTGGTTGAGATCCGATCAGTGGATCATGAGATATATATATGTGATCTGGTCTAAGGAAAGGGGGCTTAGGTGTCAAAAAATCAATTTTCACTTTTTGGTTGATTCGGATGGAAGATGAGATGCTTTTTCACGTGGTGAAAAGCAGAAAATCCTAACTTGCTTAGAAGTGTACTAAAAATGTAAAGAGTAAAAATACGACAAAATATAATTTATTTACACGATGAACTATAATAATATTCCGCCCAACAACAACACTAACTGGACCACCAACAACATGTACTGGACGTCCGGCGCGGAGAACAATTAACGAGATAATGAGAAACTGACGAATCGAGTTGCTTACTTTTAACAGCTTTTTCACAGAAGACTAGTTTTCGCACGTAAGCTCCCTTTTCGTAGACCAGGTCACATATATATATATATATATTTTTTATATGGGAGTTGAAGCCGGTTTTTTTTTTGCTAAAAATTACTTGTGATAAACTACTCTCCACTCAATTGCGTGTGTAATGATTGGGAAAATTTTGGCATAGCGTGCATTTTTTAAGTGCAGCAGACAGACATATAAGACCGATGGTACTTCTGCCATGAAAAAGAGCTTGTCATGAAAATACAATCGCCGTTGACACTTTGTTCTCACTCCAAATACATCCGAAAGCTTAACCCTTATATACGAAGTGATGGCACAAATGTACCACCAAGCGACGAAAATATTTCGACATCCAAATTACTTACGGTCATAAAATTTCATGATAGCCTTGTCACTTATTATTATCGGTGGCCGCTGTGGTGTAGTGGTAAGCAAGTAGTCAAGCCCTGGGCTCGAATCGTAACATCCGTTCCATGGATAACTTAATTTGTGACACACAATGGCTAGAGGCGTCGCCTGAGTGCATTCTTTCATATATTTATGTATGTGCCAGTTTTACCGTTATATATTTTTGATCTACTCGTTTATTCCATGGGGTATTCATGCTTTATTTAAAATAAAAAATTAAATTAGTATACCGTTTTA